TTGAATAAGAGCTTTTGTTGTTTCAGGTCGCTTAAGAGGATAATAGTGCATTTTTTTAGGATAATATACTCAAATATAAAAAAATAAGTGATAAAATAGATAAATAAACAAATGATCAATGCATTAAATAAATAAATAAACATTCATAGCCCAAACATAAAAATTAAGGATGATAACTATAGCAACTGTGTAATAACTTCGCAACTCTGTTTGAATTTATCCAATAATGAGATGAAGAGGCCTCATGATTCAACTGAATTTTATACAGCCTCACATTCCAAATGCTTATTTTATCCAGGTTTGACTATAGTTTCGAGTTCTCCCAGATATAGTCCAGCCTGGATGAGTATCTTTTTGGGAGGCAAGCCCAAGTGAAATTCAATTACTGATTGTGTAAAACTTTATTTTTCGAATTAAGTATTGTCTTCGTGACTACCAGTAAATTAGTAATATGCGATGTATTCACCCAATTTTGTTTAAGGTGATAAAGGACTGGTAGAAGAAGAATTTTCCCACAATGATATGAGTTGAGCTGACGTTTCCATTGTATTTCACATAGCCTTGCTTTCCCAAAAGTTGTTCTCATCTAGACATAAGTGGACTGCAGTTTCGACCTCGCATCGGTCTTATCAACACCCTCAGCGGGAGTCGAACCGCGACGTCAGCTCTACTCACATCATTGTGGGAAAATTCTACTACCAGTCCTTCATCCCCCTAAACCAAATTGGGTGAATACATCTCATAGTACATAGTAGTAGTGTAAAACTTCACTATCAGTCTGTCTGCATTCTGAACGACCAAGACGTCGTGATCTGCATTTTGGTTGCAGTCTCCTTTTCTTGTTTAGAAGATGCTTAACCTCGTTTTCGCAAATTGTTAGTGTTTTCATGTCGACCTAGTTGAACGCACCTTGTCCAATTCCTCTGCTGATCATAACTACTAGTCGGCGTCGTCAGTGCATCTTGCCATTCTTAGCACCAAGCTACAACTCGTAAAATAGACATGTATTTTGCCTAACGATGCATGCACCCAATACATGGCCCAACACAGGAATCTGGCTCGCTTAGTCTGGTAGAGGACCACGGACAAGATGCGTCAAATTATGTCCCCCTGACAGCAGGAACAAGTTGCGAAACCGAGGTCAAACAACGTTTAAAGAGACCTAGACTGACTAAAGCTATAACTCAAGGTCTACTGGTAGCCTCGAAATACTACTTATTTCGAATAGTCTCAGTGAAGGATGGTACAGGAAAAAGTATATGCTCAGTCAATGTCGACCTACCCACAGCTCGAGAGACCCAAACCACAGCCAATACCGAGGCCCTCTTGCTCTCTTATTTTGGCCGAATGGCAGTGTCAGAGTGTGGAACTGGCATAATTTTCGTCAGGTGGAACCAGTTTATAATTCGATGTCCGAAACCTACTTATAATTTGGAAATGAGTAGTTTAGTCGATTGCTATGCAAATACAACTTTGCTTTGCCGACAATCCCCCCCCTTCAATTCGGTATAGGAAAGGCCTAGTTTGCGTTAACCTTTACACTTGACCTATGAACCAAGGCTACCAATATGCCGAGACTAAACGTTGCATCCCAGCAACGAGGGCTCGAGTCCCGCTGAGGATGATGATGCAAATCAAGATTATGTGAAATTCAGTGGAAACGTGAGTTGTACTCATATGATTGTGGAAAATTCTACTACCAGTCCCCTCATCAACTTAAACAAAATGGGCTGTTGTATGCATAGACCAGATCCCGGATGTGATTTGTCAAGTCAGGAAGCGCCTTCACTTCATGTTGCCGTATCCAAGATGGCTAGCCTACCAACATTCAGTCAGCTTCTGGTGAGTCAAGAAAAAAAGCTGGATTTCGAGGACTCCAATGCTGGATTGATGACGACTGCCCGGAAGAGAGAAGATGCTCTGTTGATGTGACTGGAGGATGGGGCGAAGAAGACCGCAATGGATCCGTGAATCCATTTACGCAAAATTCACCAAAGAGCTAAACCCCCAAAAATGGGGCTCTTCTGAAATTCCACTAAGCCTTATACCTAATTTCTTTATTTAGTGTTTTAGTGAATTTTTCCGTAATGAGGGTTGTTGGCTCAACAGGACTTCGTTGCGGCCTTCACCGAAAAATCCGGCAGTCACAACTCCCAGTTTCCCAGTGAGACTAACCAACGAATGCCATTCATCCACCCTCTTCAAACGAATTGAATGGTACGCAAGTTCCCGAGGCTCTCGATTCCCTGTCCTCTATGACTCATGTTCCTGCAAGCAGGGCCAAAATGCCCATTTTTCCTCAGGATCTCATCACAATTTCAGCATAGCACACTCACTCACACACCTTCATACCAACTCTGGCCAACAAACGAACACATCCATACTTGGTTCTGACGGAAACGGAGACTCGGCTCCGAGCTACAGCTCATGCTTGCGTCAAGTGATTTTTTCGAGTCTACCAACTGAACTATTGCTTTAAACTTCTTCTCTCAAAGGCCAACACATTATAATCCAAAACTCAATCTCCAGGCAAAGAGGCTATTTTAAATATCCCCAAGAGTTATTTCATCCCATCACACTCTTCGGTGTGCAGAATTGCACCAGCCAACAGGATGCAGAAAACGATGAAATCCCGGCTCCCACACAAAGTGGGCGCTGTTCACCACTGCCCTACACCTGCACGCAAACAGGACAGCAACCAAACCGACTGACACGTTTTCGCGCAAAAGTGTGAGCATAAAACGAGCCTCCCTGCCCCATCTCCTTCATTTCCACTTGACAGCACTC